TACAAACCAGGAACAACTTTAATCAGTTTCTCTCAGCCTGAAGGATGATTCCTGAGAGTGTGGCCCAATGCTTGTCTGGGGCCTGCGCAGGGTGACCACAACTACCCGGCCCAGGGAAGCCCCCATGTTCCTCTCCTGAGGCAAGAGAGCCACTTGGTGGCACTGGCCAGACCTGGAGGATGGGCCCTCCGCCCTTCAACTTTCCTAAGTCTCCATTCTAGGCTCCTTTTCCAGAACAAAAGCCCAGTCACCTCCCAGCACTCAAGCTGCAGTTTTCCCTCAACCCCCCGAATATAACCTCCAAGATTGTGCATTCATGAACTAAACCAGGATCATGGAAAATCAAAACAAGTTAGGAAAAGAGCCTCTTTAGCCTGCCCAGAGAAACAAAAAAAATCCCCAGAGCAGCACTGAGGGAGGCAAAGCAAACCTCCAAATCCAGAGGTCAGAATCTGACCGTGATGAGGAACAGCCAGAGAGTGAAGCTGGAGACCTCCTGAGGCAGCTCCCTCAGAGCACAAATCCAGAACTGCCAGGGAGGGAGTGCAGGGAATCTCCATCCTCGAGTCCCTGGTTCCCCAAGGTCCTCAGCCCTAGGGATGGGGACACATGGGCAAGGGGAGACAGTCCCTGATAGCAGAAGGAACACAGTGGCAGTCAGGGCATCTGACTGGGATGGGAGGGTGGCTGTCCTGCACCCCTTGTTTATCAAACTGAGGCAAGAAGAAGTCACTTGGAGGGGGTGTTGATGACATTGGGACCGGTGGTGGTTGATGCCTGTAATCCCAGCACTCTAGGAGGCTGAGGCAGGAGGAGCACAAGTTCAGATCTAGCCGGGGATTTAGCTCAGTGGTTCTGATGCTTGCCTCGTAAGGACAAGGACCCAGTTCGATCCCCAGTACCAAAAACAAAAAACAAACAAAAAACCCAACATAAGCCAAAACAAGTTGAGATCTAGCCTGAGCAATTTAGTGACTTAGTGAGACTGTGTTGAAATAAAATTTTTTTAAAAGGGCAGGAATTGCAGCTCAGTGCAAAGGCTGTGGGTTCAATTCTGAGCACAAAACTGGGTGGGCAGACAGATAGATATAGGCAGACTGTAGAACACTTTTCTCCAGGGCAGATGGAGATGTCCCTGAGGGAGCTGGGAGGTGTGGCATCAATGTGTAATCTTCCCGCCTCAGCCTCCCAGAGTTCTGGGGTTACAGGTGTGCACCACCATGCCCAACTCAACACGTACCTCTTGTAAGTAACTTTCACCAGCACCCCTGTACACACACACACACACACACACACACACACACACACCTATCAATCAATACCAATTTGTGCCTGAATTCCCACAGGAGTGGCTCCAGAATCCCTGGTTCTGAAGCCATCTGTACCTCCAGACTCCTGGGTTCAGAGCCGGCACAGCCTGAACGCATGATTAACACCCACAATCCAGAACTGTACAGCTCTGCATGAGGGGTGGGGTGGATCTGAGTTTCTCTACCTTGCCAGGGATCCAGGAAGGTACCTGCCTGTCCTGGGGCCTTTGCAAAGCAAAAGAACTGCCCCAAAGGTGAGCTAACTGAAACATCCTGCCAGCCCCCTCAAAGGACACCTGCTCCTTCTCTCTCCTGGAAGCTGGGCCACACTGTGCTGAAGTCCCACTGTGTCTCAGTGTGGCCAACTTCCTAGGACGCTGTGACGGGCCTGCTCTGGATGCAACTCTGCCAAGCCGTCTCTCTTCATTTCTCCCTGAATACCCACTAAATGACAATTCCTCTCTTGTTCCCTTGCGATAAATGTCCCCATTTCTTCTTGCCAGTCCCTGCTAGGCCAGGTGACCCTGTGTTCTATGATCCAGCTCCTTTCCAAAAGCTCCTTTGGTGGCTGGGGGTGTGCTTTGGTGGCAAAGGACTTGCTTTACATGCCTGAGGTCCACCCCAGCTCCATAAAACAAAAGTGTCTCCTCAGAGGCATACATACCAGGAAGTCTCTGGCTCCCCAGAAGAACTCATAAACTAAAGCCAGGTGTGGTGGCACATGAGGAGTGTGGTGAATTGGAGGCCAGCCCAGGCTACATAGCGAGACAGTTTCAAAACAAAACAAAGCAAAAAACTCATAAACTGAATCTCAGCATAAAGGACAAAGCACTTGTGTCCCTGGGGACTGGGTGGCCTGGTGGTTACTAGCTGGGTGATACCAGCCAACTGAACCTCCTCATGGCTGTTTCCCTTCCTATAAAGGGGCAAAACAGTGAGCTATGCCACTGGTTTGGATAACAGAAAGCAGGGACGTGTTGCACATAACAGGTCCCAAGTGAGTGCTCTGTTGCCACCCTGTTACCTACGCTGCTCCTGTACTACTCCTCCCATCACAGTCTGTTTACAGCAAAGCCCGGCTGGGCCAGCCCTGCTAACACCCAGAAGGGTAGCTTGCCTACTCATCTTCTGGGTCCCCTAGGTCATACATGGCCAGCTCAGCCCTGTCACAATGTCCTGAACACAGATTGTTCCTATTTGTCTCAAAGCAGCGCTTCAGGATGACACATTCCACTCCAAAGGAAGCACCTTTTTTTGTTTTGTTTTGTTTTTTGAGGCAGGGTCTCCCTTTGTAGCCCAGGCTGGCCTCGAACTCCCAGTGATCCTCCTGCCTCAGCCTCCTGAGTGCTGGGATTACAGGTGTGCACTAGCACACCTGGCCAAAGGAAGCACTTTTAAAACACGTGTGTGCGCGTGCATGTGTGTTACTGGGGGTTGAACCCAGAGCCTTTACACTGAGCTACATCCACTGCCCACAGCCCTTTTTTTTTTTCATCCTGTATTTTGAGACAGAGTCTTGAAGTTGCCCAGGCTGGGTTTGAACTTGTGATTTTCCTGCCTCAGCCTCCCAGAGTGCTGGGATTATAGGCATGTGCCACCTGCACCTGGGCTTACTTTTTAAAAAGTAGCAAATAATGCCAATTATTTACTAATATTTGATAATGCTGATTTGCTTTGTGAAATTTTAAGACCAAATCAAGTTACATTATCCATGTCATAAAAACAAGAACCCACATTCCATTCCACCCTAGACTCCTGGACATCACAGTACCCCACTGAGCAGGGAACAGCTCGCCTTCCACCAGCTGCCTTCTCCAGCAAGGAAGGAAGGAACAGAGATTTTTTTTTTTTGGTATCAGGAATCGAACTCAGGACCTTTCTCTGGTGACAGCACCACTGAGCTAAACCCCCAGCCCTAGGAACAGAGAAAGTTCAGGTACAAATCCCTGTGGGAGGGAAGGCATTGTAAAGTGTGAGCAGAGCAGCTCCTTCATAGGTCTGAAACTCAACCTCCAAGCCACCCAGACGTAGCTCTAACCAGACAAAAACAAAACCTTAACACATTTCTATAAGACTTCATCAAGGGCTGCTGTCTACCATCCCTGTAAAATTTGCTAGAGGAACAGAGAGACATTTTCAGTTTCTTATTTATAGTAAGAGTGACAAGAACAGCTAAGGATCCATTGCACCTCACTGTAAGCCAGGTACTGAATGTAAGTGTTATGTGTGGTTTAAGTCACTTAATGAACCCAGTTAAGGTTCACAAAGGAGGGGCACAAGAAGGAAGGCTTTCAGACAGCGGTGTGATCTCAGCCTGCAAATTCTCATCCCTAAAGTGGGATAACACCCACCTGATAGCTATGGTAAAGATTTAATGGGTGCATGCCTGTGATCCCACCACTTGGGAGGCTGAGGCAGGAGGATCACTGAGAGTTCTAAGCCAGCCTGGAATACAGTACATAGTGAGATCCTTTCTTTAAAAACAAAAACAAAAAAGTTCAATGAAATAATGTAAGTAGAGCACTTTACCCCAAAGTTTCCATTGTGATTTCTGGGGGACAGAAAATTGAGTACTTTATTTGAAAAACATGTACTGTAGTAATGAAAAAAGCAAACCAGAAAATGAAAAAATTTGAGATTCTTTCAATCTGCCCTTGAATAGGTCCAATCGCGGCAGAGGTGAACTTGGGTGGTGTTTGATCTGGTGGTCGGTAGCTAGTCTGCCGGGCCTAGTCACTACCACATCAAAGGAGTCAGAAGAACCAAAAATCCTGCCCACACTTCAAAGGCCTCCTCTGCGGAAGCTGCTCCAGCATCCCTTCCAGGGCGCAAACAATACAGCCCAAGGGAGGCCCAGCCAGCTATAGCCATTTCAAACTGGCTTCCATGCTGGGACGTGGGACCTGCTGGGGACCACAGTCCACTCAAGAAAGAAAACTCTCCATCCCGAAAGGGCCGGCTCTGCTGCCTTCCTAGTGTCACCCGAGCACGAAGTGACCCGTAAGCGAGAGAGGACGGCCTGGCCCCTTGCCTCCTTTCTGTGGACGGTGGGGTCTCATGGGCAGCCTGACTCCTGGGCTTTCGTCCCTTTAGTCTACACCTCACACCTCGGACGGGGTTCTCTGTGAAAACCAAACCAGATATGAAGCACTTTTCTTCCTTTAGGCTGGAAAGCAGTGCATGAAGGAGGGGTCTAGAACGGAGCCGGTGCTCTGGGCCCAGCGTGAGTCCCCTCCCCTGCCCTTGGCTGAGCTGACAGTACAGACCCGCGCATCCACAGCTCGTCTCCACCCGTCGTGGCCCAATTTTAATGCGAGAGGGCGGGCAGACATGAGACAGGGGCGTCCCCGAGCGCTCCCAAAAGCCTCTGGGGGTGGGGGGGTCTCCGAGGAGCTGGGGGTCACCCTCATGGTCTCCCCAGCGCGATCGCACCCCTGCCCGGACCCGCGCCGTCACTCTCTCCATGCCCCGGAGCGTTCCTGCCCAGCCCGCGGCCCCGCGCGTCCACACCTCCCCACCTCGGTGCGCCCCGCACCCCACCGAGCCGCACCGGGCGCCCCCGACGCGCAGACGTGCCGCACGTGCGCCGTGCGGTGATTGGCAGCGCCCGCCCCGCCCACTCCAAGGCCCCTCCGTTCATGTGCGAGCCCGCCACGTCACACCCCGCCCACCCCGGGCCCCGCCCCGTTCCCGGCTGGCTGGGGAAGGGGCGTCCGGAGCCGCAGTGGCCCAGGAACAACTACAGCCCGTCGGGGACGAGAGAGATGGGGGCGGGCGTTAGAAACGCGTTCTCCGCTGCGTGAGGCTGTGGCCTAGACCTCGGCGCGTTTCATCTCCGGCGTACTCCTCGGGGAGAGCCGGGAGGTCCTCCTCACTCTGTGACCTACGCTGTGGCAGTTGGGAAAGGACCTGAGAAAGTGACAAAAGGCGATGCTCCGGTCACAGCAGGGGCCCAGAAGGGCGCCCACAAGGGATCTGAGCACGCCTGGCCCCTGGCTTCCCGAGGAGGGTTGCGCCTTAAGTGGGGTGCGAGGACCGGGCGGGCTCCGGGGCAACAAGGCCCCGCAGTCCCAGGGGTGCTCGCGGTGACCTGGTGGGGCTACTGGTGGGTCGGCCCCGCAGCCGTGAGCCAAGGAAACAGGGCCGGTGGCACTGACGCTCCTGTGAGAACCTAACTGCCACCTGAGGCGTCCATGCGGGCCTGGCCAGGAGCGCCCTCGAGGAGCCCAGGCAGGTGTGAATCAAGGCGCAAAGCCCCGCGCAAGCTGGAGGACTGCAGGCCTCGGTTTGCAGTGCAGTCCGGCCTCAGGCTCTGCTAGCACAGAGGAGGAGCGGAGGGCAGAGCTGAGGATTCTCGGCAGCTGGTGTCAGGGGCAGGGGGTCTGACTGTGCTGTCCTGCGGCGCTTTCCCCTCTGGAAAACGTCCAGTCTTGCTGTTGCGCAGTGCTTCCTTGTTTCTACATTGCTTTCGCTTGTGTTTCATTTATCCAGCAACCTTTGTGCCCCGAACCATAGTTCTGAATAGGTGAGGCACTGGTGACTTAGCACCCAAGCCCCAGGGCCACAGCTGGTTAGTACTGATGGGGACTGTAGCTCCGGGGTCCTGAATCCAAGGTCTTTCGGTCAAACAACCAGATCAGGCTTGGTTTATGGTCCTGGTGCCACGGGCACATACAGCAACTAAGAGGAAATCTGAAGGACTGGGTTAACACCCCCCCACCATTGCTTTTTAGATCCTCTCATTGAAACGCAGGTCGAGCTGCTCTTACCTGCTCAGGAAGGACTTCACTAACCCTAGCCAGAAAACCTAGACCCAGAATGACAGCAGAATTCGGGCGTAAGGATGGGCTACCAACTGTGACTTCCTCCTTACCCACATCCTTCAGGCTACCTCCAGACCCAGGGTCTCTTCTCTTCTCTCCTCTTGGTCCACAAGCAGAGGGCCTGTTTCCTGTCCCAGGGGATGAGTGAGTTCTGCCTACCTAAAATAGGCTCCACCGAGGGTTCCGTGCAATTTTAAATGCAGTCATGTCACTTAATGACAGGAACACATTCTAAAAACTGCATCATTTGGAGGTTTTGTTGTGTAAACATCAGAGTATAGTTACACAAACCAACATGGCTATGGCAGCGCTAGACAATATAATATTTATGGTTCTTCATTTACGTCTTTTGATTTTGTGGGGTTCTTTTTTCTTTTAGTAGACAGGACGTCACTATGTTGTCCAAGCTGGTTTTTGGGGTTTTTTTAGAGAAGAAAAAAATTTATTGAGAAAAAGATAGCTTCTGCCTAAGTGAGACATAAAGGGGGACCGGAAAATGGGTGACCCCCTCTTTTTTTCCAGGCTGGTTTTGAACTCCTGTACTCAAATGATCCTCCTGCCTCAGCCTCCTGGGTGGGTAGCTGGACTATAGATACATGCCACTGAGCATGGCTTAGACAATATAATCTTTTGGGGGGGGAGGTTACCGGGGATGGAACTCGGGACCTTGCGCTTGCTAGGCAGGCGCCAGAACCACTGAGCTAAATCCCTGGCCCTGACAATATAATCTTTTTAAAAATGTTTTTTAATTATCCATGTTTGCAATACATAATGATCACATTCCTTGTGGGGGGTTGATATGTGTACATAAACACATCTCAATTCTTTTTTACATCCCCTTCTCTCCCTCCTCCCTCCCTCCATCTCATGGTCCCTTTCCCATTTGTAAAAAGATCTCCCTCCCTGTTTCGTACGATCTCTCTTTCATTTAGGCAATATCATTTTATGTGGCCACTGTCATATACATAGTCCATCACTGACCCAAACACCCTTCTGTGGCACATGACTATCTCAGAAGTGACAAGGTGGCCAGCTAGCTCAGGCCGCGTAGATGCAGTCTGACTTCCAGGAACAGCTGAGACTGCTCCTGGTTGCAGTGGGAGACCACTGTCCCTCAGATGTCCCTTCTGCCTGAAAATGTGTGGAGCAACAGCTTCATTCATTACAGACCCAAAAGGAAACCAAAACCCTTTGCAGTAGGGAGATCCTGTGTTGAGCAACCTACCGCCTTAGGGGAATATGGGGGCCAGGGAACTGAGATTGGGTGTGAGCTTACTTTCTTTTTATTAAAATAAAACTAAGTGGTTGGTACTCTAAACAGAAATCAGATTAGTGCTCACATCTTACACAACTTATATTCCTCTGCATGAGAACTGCTTGCTTTGTCCCCATTTACCAGCCCTTGCTTTTTATTTTTTATTTTAATTTTTTTTTGAGACAGGGTCTTACTACATAGTTCAGGCTGGTCTTGAACTTACTATGTAACCCACTCTGGCCTAACTCACCAAAATCCTCCTGCCTCAGCCTCCTAAGAGCTGGAATTACAGGTGTGCACCACTATGTGCTGCCCAACAGTCATTTGACTCATTTTTGTTTTAACCACTCAAAAACAGATCAAGGGCTCTAGTTGGCCTAAGGTCCATGGTTTGCCACCCACTGAGCTATATTATTATGATGCTTGTGGCATCTCACTTTTCCTTGTCAATTTATTTCCCCAATACATTTACCTTTTCACCACTGTCTGCTGCTGGGCACATAGTAGGTGCTCAATAAATAATTAGTGGGTGAGTGACTATGGAAATGTTGCTCCACACAGGTCAGGACCCAGTGGTCAGTTCTGACCCAAGGTTACACAGCTGCCCCTGACTGATGGAGAGAGGAACAGAAAGAGCTGCTGCTGGCCCACAAATCAGGAAGTCAACTCATTCTGAGCCCCAAACCTAGGACTTCTGGGTAGGTTGGGGGGCTTCAGCCTACTCTTGCCCCCCGGCTGCTGTCCTGGGCGGACACGTGGCAGGCAGTGGCTCCACAGTGGCCTTCTGAGACTGCACCTGCTTTTGTTGTTCCACACCCTGTGGAAAGCTCTTTGCTGGCACTCTGCCTATATCTTTACTCTTTTTGGGCTAGGGATTTAGCTCAGTGGTTTTGCCACCTGCTGCGCAAGCGCAAGGACCCGAGTTCGATCCCCGGTACCAAAAAAAAAAAAGAATCTTTACTCTTTTCTCCCCAACTCCCAATCGCCTCTCTTCCCAGTTCCCCTTGCCACATTCGCTGCCATTTGCATGGATTGAAACAAAAGTCTCCTTTTGTGTGTAAAGGACATCCAAGCCTTGCAGGGGTGCAGAAGGGACACTTGTGGTGGGAGAGGGGATTCTGTCCAGGGTGCTTGCTACACTGAGGAAAAGGGCAAGCCAGGGTTGCCGAGGGAAGTGGCCCCCCTAAGGCCAAGAACATGTTGAGTGTGTGCATCACTGGGGGTCCTGTGGGGAAGGACACAGGCTGCAAGCAGTGACAGCTGTTTCCTCCTGAGCGGTGTGACTCAAGCCACCCTGAGCACCTCCACCAAGTCCTGAGCTGGTACTAGGGGCTGCACCTAGAGGTGATGCCGGAGTCACTAAAACAGTAAAAGGACATTCACGGGAATTTGACACCTATGTCTACTCTACCTGAGGAGACCCAGCCGGTTGTCATTATGATGGGCATTTGATAGATCTTTATTGTGATTATGGACTACGTGCTTATTCATTTAATTCTAACACCAAGCGCTATGAGATGGGCACTATCACGTCACCATCCTGTTGGACAAATGGAGAAACTCAGGCCCAGGGAAATAACCTTTTCAAGGTCCCACAACTAATAAGTGATCCCTGGCAGTTGGCTGTGGCTCTTCTGCCCAGTTATTCTTGGGGGGTTCCTGAGGGATCAGCATGCAGAGGGGACAAAGGCAAACAGCACAGAGCCTGCCACCTACTTTGGTCTGGGAATTCCAGGCTCCCAGGCTCTGCCAAGCTGACTGCCAGGGTGCCCAGGAGGTAGACGAGGAGGGCGAGAAAGCCAGGCTCCATGGTTCTGCCGCTGTCCCCAGCCCCAGGCACGCCAGCCAGGATAGCCCGGGGAAGGCCCTTGTCACACAGGAGCTGCCCCTGAGCCCTGGGTCCCGAGCCAGCAGCAGCTGGGAGGGAAGCCAGGTGGGGTGGGGCCACTTCCCGTTCCCTGGAGGAACAAGGTCTCATTTGATCCTCTCTGTTTCCCATGTACAGATGAGGAAACTGAAGCTTGTGCCAAACGAGGAAAGGAATTCGGGTCAGGTCACACAGCTAGTAGATCTCAGGGCTGGGCTTTGAATGCACCCTGGCCTACACAGGAAGTTCAAGGCCAACGTGAGCTACTTACAGACCTTCAAAAAAACTAGAAAATGTAAAAATAAAGATGTGAAGTCCATGTGGGGTCCATGATAATTCTGTCCTGTGAAAGAAAATCAGTACAGCAGGATGACCCCCTGGGGGTCCTACAGCCTCCTCAGCCAGCCCACACCCTCGGCCTCCAGGACAGGTTCTGGGTGGGTGGACACTGAAGACGGCCCTTAGGCCCAGAGGACTCCAGTGCCTAGAAGACATCCCCCTCACTGTGCAGGGCAAAACGGACCCCAGGAAGCCTTTTAGGGAGACGGGGACAACACATTCTTTGGTGCATCTAGAGTTCAAGGGACCATCTCTCCCTGGGAACAGGGGCCCCTTTCAGTTTTCAAATCTCAGTCTATACCTGTAATCCCAGCACTTTCGAGGCAGAGGCAGGAGAATCGCCATGAGTTTGAGGCCAGACTCGGCTACAGAGTGAGTCCAAGGCCAGCCTGAACCACACAGTGAGATCCTGTTTCCAAAAAACAAAAAAACAGTCTAAATGAGAGCTTGTGTATGCAGGGAGTGCATATGGATGTGGCACATGTATGTACGTACATGTTGGTGCACACCACATGCACATTTGTATACGTATGGGTGTGGTGTGTGTCCATGAGTAAGGCATATGTTGTGTATGTTTGCACATATATGGTTTGTGTGTGCACGTACGCATGTGTGGTATGGTGTGTGTACATGAGCAATCTTCACCTGATAGCTCACAGGAGAGCAGCTGCTATGCACCTGCTTGAGAACAGTGTTCCTAGGATGGCTGATAGGTAGAAAGGGAAAGGAGGGACAGGCAGAGCTCCTCTGTCCTGGGCCTATGCTGGGCAGGAGGATGGAGGAAGTCAACCCTGCTCCAGCCTCCCAGGAGCCCAAGCCCCAAGCCTCCTGCCGCAGCAGCCCAGCAGCCGGCCGGAGGAGACAGCCCTTAACAGCTGCATCTCAGCTTCCTGTTTTCCAGGGGGCTGGCCCAGCCAAGGGACATCTGCTTCTGTTTATTCTTCCTCTTATCTTAATGGGTCCCCCATGTCCCCAGAATGCCTTAGGCTGCACACAGGTACATACCCAGAGGGAGACCTGGGTCCCAGGAGGTGTGATCGATCAGTTACTAAGCACAGTTACTAAGCAGTCCGAGGCGCTACTGGCCCTGAGGTCCAAGTGGAGAAGAGAAAAAAGGGTCAAGGGCAAAAGACTCTCCTCAGAAGGCAAGCAGAAAACTAGCTGGTTGCTGGGGGCAACCTTAGCTGTTAGGAGAAACACACTGTAATTACTTTTAAATTGCGGGTCACACCTAGGCTAATAGGCACAACTGGAAATTTCTGTTGGGAGGAGGAAGTCTTTCCCATTAGAGATAATGGTCACTCACCCTTGAACCTGGACCAGTTTCCGGCTGTGGCCGCCAGAGCTTGGCCCCAGGGGGGCCTCTGCTGGCCACCGCCCACCACCTTGCAGTCAAAAGGGAGCCCTGTCTCCGGGCAGTCACAGCCTCCCTTCCAGGGGCCGGGCGCGGGATGTGAGCAGTGCAGCTCTTCCCCTAACCAACGCTCTCAGGAGCTGAGCACCCCCATCCCCAACCCCCACGCTGGGAGCAGAGGCACCCACCGCTGTCGCTGAGAGCAGTTCGAGGGCTTTCAGCTGTTGCTGAGCCAAAGTCCTGCTCCACTCCTTCCGGATAAGCCTTCTGTGTTTATCACATCTCAGGCCTGACCAAGGTCATCCTGAACTGCTCTTATTGGCAATCTAGAACTGATAACACTCTCCAGGTTGTATCCCAGGACTTCTCTAAATGTTACTATCATTTTTTTAATGGTACTGGGGATGGAATCCGGAGCTACATCCCTGTGGAGAACAATTTGAAATAAGATGGAATTGTATAACCCTAAGCGTGCTGTAACCCTAAAGTGTGCTGTGACTTTAAGAGTGCTGTGACTTTAAGAGTGCTGTGAGTGATATGTAACCATAGTAACCATAAGATATAAAAGTAGAACCTTAAGCGGTATGGAATTGATAAGGATGTAGCCCGAACTGGACAGGGCGTGGCCCAAAATGGACAGTGTGATAAGTCTGAACCAATACCACAAACGCCCAGTTAGAATAGTATAAAAGGAGCTGAAGACCTCAAGCAAGTGGACGATCCGTCCCACGGACCAGTCTACTAGTCAGTCTGCTGATCTGACTACCGACCAGGACATCTGCACCTGATCCCGCTGGAAGGAGCATCGCCGCCGACCTGACGAGACCAGAGGACGAGGCCAGCGGAGAGACGGACAGCCTAGCGCCGACTCGACGCCCTTCGTCTACGGATCGGACCCTCTGACCCTGCGGGAGGAAACGTCGCGCTCCCACAAGGACTTGCGCAGTACAGGTACAGGGACGTGGTAATTGGCAGACTTAATATTGTCTTATTTAATATCGTGTGATAATTGCAAAGAAGTGAATTATAATAATGTAAGTGTGTGAACTGCCATCCGAGTCTGAGTCCTCTTTACCCGCGGTACCTGCTCGCGACAATCCCCAACCCCTTGTTAATTTCTTTCCTTTTTTTGACCCAGGGTCTCTAAGTTGCCTGGGTTGGGCTCAAACGTGTGATCCTCCTGCCTCAGCCCCCCAGAGTGCTGGGATTACAGGCATGAGGCACTACAGCCAGCTTTCCTATCATCTTAAAATGGCTTTTGTAATTAAAAAGCTCCTTTTAGATATTATGAAGTTTAGTTCTTTTTAAGGAGTTTTCTTTGTGTATAGTCAAACTGGCAACATAGCATGGTGGTCCCAAGCTTGGTCTTTGGTATCACAGTGATCTGGGTTCCAGTTCTGACTCCTCCACTTGCTGAGTGGCCCTGTGTAATTTACTTTAACTTCACACCCTGATTTCTTCATGTGTAAGATGGGCTGAGTAAGAATTAAGAGGTGAAGGAAATGAAAATACTTGGTACCATGCTTGGCTCATGGCACTTAATGCACATTAGTGACTACAAAGCTTATTTTATTTATTTATTTACTTATTTATTTGTTTGTTTGTTTTTGGTACCAGGGATAGAACTCAGGACCTTGCACTGTGAGGCAGGTGGCGGAACCACTGGGCTGAATCCCTGGCCCTAAGCTCATTTTATTTTTAAAATTTTTTAATTTTATTTTTGGTACTGGGGATCTAACTTGGGTCCTTGCGCTTGTGGGTCAGGCGGTGGAACCACTGAGCTGAATCCCTGGCCCCCGAAGCTCTTTTAATTGGGTCAGGAGAGTGACACCTTTGTGACAGATCACCAAGAAGGACTACCATGTTTTCTACCCTAGGGAGAAATGACTAGTCCCAAACCTGAGGCAGACAGAGAAAGTGAACCCAGGACATCCAACTGTATGGGAAGATAAGGTGTGTTCAAAGGCAGGAAGCAGTGGAAGGGATGGGGGGGCAAATTTAGGGAAATTTGAGCATCAAAATGAATAGTCACTACACCTAGTAATACAACATATTAAAAATCCACATGTCTACAGTGATATTCAAGACAAGGAGAGAAATACCAGCTAATTAAAATGGAAGGAATGACAGAATTGGAAGTCACTGTTTTGCAACCCATGATGATATAGGGAAGCAAAGATTATCTACTTTGGATGAAACACTGGATGAAAGGTTACTGAAGAGCAAGATATGCACAGTGGTCTAAAGCACCATTTGCAGATGATTTATAGGTTACCACAGGGAAATCTCGCTTTACAACGGAGAGCTCGTGTCACCACTTTGACCAAGTGATCAAACTGAGCCCTCCAATCAGGCAATGCTGGCACACTTCCTGGTATGATGCCATCTGAAACACAATCCCACCAATATGAATTATACCTGCCAAGCAGGATTAACTCACATACAAGCAAGCCTGTGACTTAAGGCCAATTTGCAGGAAACACCAGGAAAGAGGAAAAAGTTAAATAACACCAAGAAGAATCAGACAAATTCACCACATGGAACACACTATCAGAGGGCTGGTCTGAGATACAGGCGCTCTCCTTGACCAAACTCTAGTCCTCAGAGCCCTCTTTTCATTTAGGCCTGGAAGTTGGCCCCTGTCCCATTTGGCCAGCTCCACTCAGTATTAGCAAAGAACCTGCCACCTGCATTACCTCTCCACCCTCAATATCTGATATCTGATTAGCAAAAATTTAGGCTTGGGGCTGGGGATTTAGCTCAGTGGTGCCGACGCCTGGATCTCAGGCATAAGGTCCCAGAGTTCGATCCCCAGTACCAAAAAAAATCAAAACAAAAACTTAGGCTTGTTTTAGCATGAATCGCCTATCCTTGATGTCTCCTCTTGGTAATTTTCTATCCACTCACCCTCTCATCTTGCCCTTTGGCTATAAATTCATGGTTTCCTTGTTGTATTTGGAGTTGAGCCTGATCGCTCTCCATAATGAAATACGTCTATGCCAAAGCTTTCTTTATTGCTTGAAAAAACTTTAATACCTGGACATGTCAAAAAGTTAATGTCATTTTTATTTTATTTAATTAATTAATTTATTTTTTAAGAGTAGGAAAAATTTATTGAGAGAAAGAAAGCTTTTGTCTGAGAGAGACAGAAGGGGCCCAGAAAGTCAGTTGGCCCTTGATTTTATTTTTTTGAAACAGGGTCTCCCTATGTAGTTCAGACTGGCTTTGAACTCACCATGTAGCCCCTGCTGGCCTTGAACTCATGACAATTCTCCTGGCCCAGCCTTCTGAGTGCTGGGCTTACAGAATGTACCACCACACCCGGCAATTTTTCTATTTCAACATTCATTGTATTTTTTGATAGCACCTCAAGTGTGTTCTTTTGAGGAACAGCATAAATTTGTGTTAAATTAGATCAAGCAACACCACATACACACAAACAAGGCAAGTATTTTGGTGAACACTGGTTGGGGTATCAATGCCCAACAATTTACTATTAGATGTATGTTTCACAATAGGGAAATAGATCCAGAGCCAATTTATTTCTCCCCAACATGAGGAGGCTTCAGCTAGTTGTTAGTAGAAGTTCTGTAGCTATTTTTCCAGGTGTGTTA